CCCCAAAACCCCAAAACCCCAAAACCCCAAAACCCCTTATAGCTGGCACTTCATTGATGATATAAATTATCAATAAATTATAGATACATTATGGAAGAAGCTTCCTTTCCTCACAAGAATACCTTACAAAAGGATCAAGAGTGTTGTATCGTGGGTAGAAGAGATATAAATTCTAATATTGAGACCCAAGCAAATAGGCTTCTATTCAAGATCATGAGAGATCATATCAGTGAATTCAATGCTGATTTATTTCATTTATTCAAATTATTGGAATTCAAGTTTGAAGATCTTCAAGAGCATGGAAGTAAAACAATTTTTAAGTTTCCTTTGCCAAATGCCCAGATTAATTGCCTAAGGATTGTTAACATTTCAAAGAAGATGAAATACATCAACCAGCTTCTTGACAAATTAAAGATAAATCAACTAAAGGAGGTTGTTTTTCATTGTGCAAAACATAAGATAACAAATTTTGGATTCTATATAGCCAGATTTTGCAAAGTATTGAGCACTTCAATTTCGGAGATTACTATTCAAGGGTGGGCTCTGTCCCATAAGCAATTCTGCAGGATTTTAGCCTCATGTAGCAATAAGCTTAAAGTAGATTTTATTAAATGTGGAATAAAGATAAAATAATCTTGATTGCCTGAAAGACTGAAAGCCATCAATTAAGGAACTCAAATTTGATTGGTGAATTATAACCCAAGAGGAAGAAGACCCAGAATATAATAATCTTATTGAGAAGATTGCATTCTCCAGCTTGCAGTCATCATTAAAGAGATTAGTCATAATACCTACAAAGGATTCAAACCCATTAGCACAGTATAAGCCATCTAGAGGGTTTAACATCAATGGAATCAGTGTTAAATTGGGCAAAATATCATTTATCCCACCTTCAGAAGAATAGGTGCCTAAAAGTTTGATCCATAAATCTACAGCGAATTCCTTCTTGCCCATATTCACTTGGTCAGTAAAAGTTCAATTTTATTTTAGTAGCGTGGGGTTTTGGGGTTTTGGGGTTTTGGGGTTTTGGGG